CAAGAGGCTCTTTAGTTCCTCATCACTTTCTGCCATCACTGTGGGCCAGACTATTCCAACAGCTCATATCCCTGCTTCCATATTGCCTGTCTGCAGTCCATTCTCTGTATTTAACAGGAGGAATAGCCTTAAAATAGAAACTGAATCATGTACTGGGTATTTAGCAGTGAGGATGGCAGTGTCCTAAGCTCTTTCACATCCAACTGGAGAGGGGAGGAGACACTATATCAACAAACAAATCATTCAGTTTCAGATGGTGATATGTGCTGTACAGAATATAGAAAAGTGAAGCCGCTCAGCTGTGTCTGACTCTTTGCAACCCCATGGACTGTAGCCTGCCAGGCTCCTTCGTCCATGGAATTTTCCAGACAAGGATACTGAAGTGGGTTGCCATGCCCTTCTCCAGGGGATCTTCCCACCAGGGATCAAACCCAGGTCTTCCACACTGCAGGCAGACTCTTCCCTGGTATTAGCCACCAGGGAAGCCCACAGAATATAAGACAAGGTGGTACAATAGAAGTAACTGGAAGGGAACCTGAGTGGTCAGATAAGGTTTCTCTAGACTGGACTGTGGACTGAGAGAGAGGATTCCCAGGCAGGGGGAGAGCAAGTGCAAAGGCCCTGAGGTCCACAGCCAAGGGACTGAAAGACCAGCACTGCTGGAGCTAAGTCCTCAGTGAAACCAGGAAGATGACACCTGCCCCCAAATTATCATACCATTATATTGCAAAGATGTGTCAGGTGCATTTGAGAAAGAAAAGCCAAATAAAAATACCATGGGTGTGCTGTTTCATTTTTGTTGCACCATTCTAATGTAATTCAGTGACGCAGGCACCAGATGATAGCCCCATGACATCCTACTGACTTGGCTGTGGACCCCAATCACTACACCACGGTACACATGGAGAATCTAGGCCTGGACTTTCCTGGTGAGTACTGGATAGACCTTGCATGGATGCAGTTCATGATACCCTGTAGGCACTCAGGATTATCTTTTGAATACATGAATAGGTGGTTTCCCGGAGTGTGGTCTAGAATAGTGATTCTCAGCCCTAGCAGGCTCATTGGAATCATCTGGGGCTTCCCTGGTGGCTTAGCAGTAAAGAAACTGCATGCCAGTGCAGGAAACACAGGTTTGATCCCTGGTCCAGGAAGATCCCACATACCTAGGGGCAGCTGGGCCCGTGCTCGACAGCTGTTGAGCCTGGGCTCTAGAGCCGGGGAACCACAACCACTGAGCCCTTGGGCCACCACCACTGAAGCCCTCATGTCTTAGAGCCCATGGAGCAGCAAGGGAAGCCGCCACAATGAGAAGCCCAAGCACCACGATTGGAGAGTGGCCATTATGCCCCACTACTAGAGAAAAGCCTGTGCAGCAACAAAGACCCAGCACAGCCAAAAGAAATACACAAAATGATTTAAAAAAAAAAAAAAGGAATCATCTGGAAGGCTTTTTGAGAAACCCAATGCCCAGGGCCACCTCCAGAGATGCTCATGTAACCATGTATCAGATCTGGGGTGGGGTCCAGGCTTTTGTAGGTTTAGAAGATACCCAGGTGATTCTAATGTGTGTTCAGGACTAGGGACCCTGGACTTTCCAGTCCTTTCTGATGCTATTGCAATTCTCCAGGAGGAAGATTATGGTACTGAGCGCCATAATGATTATAGAGGAGGTGGTGAGATGTGGTTGAATTTGAGCTAGACACAGGGTGTACAGCTGAGGCCAGCCTAGTGAGAATGTGCCTGAGATCATAGGCTTTATCAGCTTACTGAAACAACGCACATTTTCTAATTATAAAATAGCATAGCATAGCTGTCTCTGTGGGCTCCCCTGGTGGCTCAGATGGTAAAGCGTCTGCCTGCAATGCAGGAGACCCGGGTCTGATCGCTGGGCTGGGAAGATCCCCTGGAGAAGGAAATGGCAATCCACTCCAGTACTTTTGCCTGGAAAATCCCATGGCCAGAGGAGCCTCATAGGCTACAGTCCATGGGGTCGCAAAGGGTTGACACGACTGAGCGACTTCACTTTAGTTTCACTTACAGCTCTCTCTGAAACATGGCGCCTCTCACTTCTTAGATGCCTCATCAGTCCATGATATTATTAAAGACTCCACAGAAATCAGTGCATGAATTTTCACTACCTCCTCTCTGAACTTAGAATTTCATTTAAATGAAAGATCTTCTCAAAGATAGAAACTTCTGGACATAGGCCTCCTCTCATTGCTTTCCTGTCTTCCTCTGTTCCTTCTGCTTCAGTTCTGTTTCCTTTCTTCATTTCTTTTTCTCTATAATCTCACTACTTTCTCCTCCCCCAGTACTTTGTAAAATGCTTCCTCAAATATTTGAAAGTTTTTTTTGTGTTTTGTTTTACTCCAAAATTTGGAGACTTCTCTGCATAGCATTGTGGGCAATCTATGGATAAGGAAAAAAAAAAAAACCTATTCATCCAAACATTCCATCTCCTCCTCATGCAAGGAGGCCACACAGATTACCCTTGGCCACAAATCCCAGATGATACTCTTGTCTTCTCAGACCAGAGAAATGGGGAGAAAATTGGAGTTCAGGCATTTTGACCCTTCTCCAGACATTGGAAGCTGCAAAGTCCCTGTGAAAACAATAGACTATCAAGGTATTCTGGGCATTTGGGGAAGATGGGTCATATGAAATTTTGAGTTTTGAGAGCCTCTAAACAAATCCCCTCTTCTGTCAATTAAACAGTTGATTTATGAGGAGTGAAGTTGCCACGTGGTTTGGATACACCCTGCTCTGGGGATGAAAAGAGAAGGAAATGTGATTTTGTTTGGAAGACCTTTTAAACTGTTGGCTGTCTAGCACTGAGAATTAAATCTGGGTGCAGAAAGGATGGGGAGGGGATGGCGCTGATGCAGAGTGAAAGGATGGATTGGCCAGGATGCAGTGTCTGGCCCTGAGCAAAGCATTACATTGCTTGCAGCTGTGGGATGGTTTGGAGGTCCCATTTTCCTAGATCCCTTCAGGGTCTCCTTTCTTTCTGATGAGGTGGTAAGGGGCCACAGGGTGTGTTGGGTTCAGCCTTCTTGGCACGGGGGCGTGTGTTTTGTGTTTTTGCATGTAGATGTGAAACTCAGCAGACCTGACACTCTTCTCTGAAGGGAGGCTGAAGGGAAAAGGCCAGGTGGGGCGTGGCATGGCTGTTACAATGACCACACAGCACACTCTGTCCTCCCCTGATTCAGCACTTCACATTTCTCCAGTGAAAAATTAGTGGGAGATGCTCATCGTGTCAGGCTTTCCTCATGATTTAAATGCTCTGTGCTTCACCCTGGACACCTGTGTTTGTTAAGCAATAATAGAGGAGGCTTTTGAGAGGTTTGCAGAAGACCAGGCAGTGAAAGGGATGAGTAATGCAACGGAGGCTCCCCCTGGGGTTGAAGAGAGCATGTGGGAGGATGTCGCTGGGAGGAGGGGTTAGAGAAGGATGGGCAGGAGGAGGAGCTGGCCTCTTTGTTCATCCACTCAGTGATACTGTGTCTGTCTATTGAGCGCCCTTGTGGCAACGTGCCTTCCTTGCCTCGTGAGTACAGCGCAGTGAATTCGGGAGACCTGGCCTTCCCCACATGTGCTCATCGTGCTCCTACTTATCTTCTGTGGAGACTTTCCTGACTCCTGGGTCGGCATATCACCCCTTCCTTTGTTCACCAGTGGCCCTTCATGCAGACATCCCTCTGGTGGGTACTAAGTTGCTTCAGTTGTGTCCAACTCTTTGTGACCCCATGGACTGTAGCCCACCAGGCTCCTTTGTCCATGGGATTCTCCAGGCAAGAATACTGGAGTGGGTTGCCATGTCCTTCTCCAGGGGATTTTCCTGACCCAGGGCTCAAACCCACATCTCTTGTGTCTCCTGCATCATCATCTTTACCACTAGCACCACCCGGGAAGCCCTATCTCTCTGGTACCCACCACATTTGAAAGTGAAAGTGTGAGTTGCTCAGTCATGTCTGACTCTTTGCAACCTCATAGATTGTAGCCCACCAGGCTCATCTGTCCATTGGATTCTCCAGGCAAGAATACTGGAGTGGGTTGCCGTGCCCTTCTCCAGGGGATCTTCCTGACCCAGGGCCCTAACCCATGTCTCTTGTGTCTCCTGCATCAGCAGGGGTGTTCTTCACGACTAGCACCACCTGGGAAGTCCCATCCCTCTGGTACCCACCACATTTATTATACTCTCATTTTCTGTTCACACATCTGTCTGCCTCATAAGATTCTGAGTTCTGCAGACAAGAATCAAGGCATGCATGTCTCCTGCTGTAGAAGCTGCTCAATAAAGCAACTTAATTAGTGGATTTGACAAGCAGTGTTTAATTTGAAAAGGTAGGTGGGTCTTCACATATTTATAAATATAATGATGATGATGATTTAATTCTCCACTCTGTTCCAGGCACTGAGGAGGCAGGTTTGGAAATGATATGTTTAGATGCATAGATTTTCTATTTTGTTCTCCAGTCAATCAGTGATGTCAGAACTATCCCATGGAGTATTGGTGGGTGGGTGAAAATCAGTGGTCATTATTTAGACACGGTCGATGCACTTTTTTTTTTTTTTATTCAGTGTGATCCTTCCCTGATTCATTTTTTTCTCTTTCAAAGAGAGCCAAACCATGCCCTCAGCATGTGCCACATCTGGGAAGTACTCAACAGCGATGACAATGATAATAACAACTGGTATTTATTTGGTCTTTCCATGTGTCAAGATTTATTCTAAGAGCTTTGCGTATTTCATTTATTCCTCATGCAATCCCATGAGGCTGATAATACTATTATTCTAAAATGAAGAGACTGAGACATAAAGAGTTTAAGCAACTTATTCAAGGTCACACAGCCTAGGGGTTGGGTAGAAGCAGTATTCCTGCCAGAAAAGTCTTTCTCCAGAGATTCTGCTCTCAACGTCCCTGCTAATTGTGTCCACTATTTGGCTATTGACACTTTGGGGAGTTTTTGCACAGGAGGAATCCAAACATGTCACCTCCTGTGTTGAAGATCTGTTGTTAAAGACATTTCTTGAATTGACTTGCCCTACCTGCTCTCGAGACTTGGCATCACCCCCTCTCGAAAGTCATCTTTGATCTCTTCCAGACTTAGCCAGATGTTGCTTTTGTATTTTCACAAAACCCTTTGCTCTTATTTTTCATGTGGCATCAATTGTGATGGTCTAATTTCTCGTCTGTTTTCCCCTATAGTCTGTGAGTTCCTTAAAGACAGAAACGTATCTCTCAGAGCCTAGAGCCTATTATTCAACAAATATTTGTGTAATTAATTAAGAAAAAAGTGAAGTTTACTTACAATTTCTCAAGAACCTTACTAAAAAGAATGCTAATTGCTAGCTGTATTTATTCATTCACTATTTTATCCAATGATTTATTCATTTTTCAGTAGGTATTTATTGAGAGAGAATCTTTCTAGGGGCCGAAGTGATAAGGTATACATGATTCCTTTCTATAAGGGGCTACTACAGGAGGTCTGGACATTAATCAGAATTGTCTAATTACAAAATTAGGACATTGCTATGGGAGAAAGGCACAGAATGCTATGTGAAAATATACATGTAAACATAGAGGTCCCTGAGACTCAAAGAAAACCCATAATCCTACCAAAGGATCAAGTGGGTCATCCTTTGACTCTCTGGGTTGTGCCCCTAAGTCAGAAGCCACCACTGATGATAGCAGGACAATTGAATGCAAATTTGAAAAGTCTGGACAAATCAATGATTCCTACAAAAAGTCTTAGAATGGTTGAGTTAAAGGAAAACTATAACAATCATAGGAGCCAACTTCATGAACAGTGGAAAACCTCATTTTAAGATCCGAGGTAAACTGATTGTGCAAGAAAAATGCGAATCAGTCCCAGTTCTTGGGTATTTATTCAATGTCCTAACACTACTTCTGGTAATAAATAGAGACCTGTGTCTACCTAGAAATTTTATGAGGCATTTAGGGACTTATCTTGATGTTCTCAGGTACTAATACTTTCACACCGAATCCTGAGCAAATCATCCCAAACCAACTTTGAGTTTTGTCAGGGATTTATTACAAGCTCGTCTTGGTGCTACCCTCTGGAGGGTAAAACCAGATAGCAAGGATCAACCTTCTAATCCCAGGGAACATTCTGATAGAGTGAGTTTTTGTTTTATTTAGAAGAGGGCTCATAAGATATTATTAAAACAACTTGAACATCTGGTTTGGGGATAAAGTCATTTTCTTGTGTGACTGCCAAGCCACAGAGCCAGGCTTACCAAGAAAGCCTCCTTCTCTCTCAGCCTTCCGAAAAGCTTAATACCCAACTATAATAACGTGCCCCCTCCAACACAAACGAAGAGTACAGGGGAGCAGAATGAGGTCTTCAAGACACAGGGAGACTTCACCTGTGGTTGGAAAGTCTGAGCAATAAGGAGCAGCTAGGCTCCATTTGGGATCTTTTCTCAAGCTGATGGCCTCCGATTCAAACTCTCAGTGAAAACATTCAAGAAAGAAGCAATATCCAAATGAAGTGTTCACTGAATCCCAGGGAAATTCCTCCTCCCACCATTGCTGTACTCTCCTCTATCAAGCTGAAAGCTGACATTCAGTCTCAGAGAAAATAAAAACCAGAGTTAGCAAGTACCGTTAGAGGTGAAATAGGACTGTTCTCTCTGCATGAGTCCGGTGCTAATGCAGTCCTCTCCTTTGGTTGTGCTATCGCTCTAGACAGGCCGTTAAGATGTACAGACCCATATTCATTCATTAAAAAAATGCTGAGTACCTGTCAGCTAACAAACTCTGTACTGGGCCCTGGACTCTATGATCTGATGGTACTTGTATTTTAGGCAGCCTAGATGCAATTAAAAGTATTCATGGAAGGATTATTAACTGTGAAAGAGCAGGAAAAGAGACAAATGAGGCACTGGGGATGTAACTACCTGCCCTCCCGTGGAAGATCTTATAGTCATTTACGCTACCCTTCCCCACATTTCAGGCAATCAACACGGATAGAGCAGATTGGTAAACAAAGTGAAGTCTACTTGCTGTCCCCAGACTTGAGTTTTCAGACAAGGGCAATGCAACTCCCAAAGAAGACATAATTATGTCCTGTCTTTCTATTCACAGTATCAAACAGTTGGAAAACAGCCCAGAGATTTGTTTTGCTCAAGCCCCTTGTTTTGCAGTGACCCCCAGTGGGGCAGTAACCTGCTTCAGCCTCCCAGCTCACCAGTGGCAAAGCCCTGGCTGGAGACCCAGGTCTTGTGACTCCAATTCCAGGACCTTTGCCTGTGGTCTTCAATGGAGATTGTAACATTTTTATCTTATCCTACTCAACTGTCTCTCCATTCACTCATTGTGCTTTCATAACTCAAAGAACCTAGAAGAGGGAGGAAAGTAAAGCCGAAGGTTAGGAGTTAGCTATATTTTGTGGTTGGCAAAATGAACTCATGAGCAGTAGGTTGTAGAAGCTTTAGAAAGGAAAAGCATATCAGAACCCAGGAACTGAACAGAGATTGGGTTCTTTCTTTCTTAACTGTGTGGGAATATCCAGGTGTGGAGAAATCATCCTTCTTTTGAGTCCTTTCAGTTGTCTTTTCATGGCTGGGAATTTGGGAAAGAAGGGAGGGGTGGTATGGGAGAAGTGGGGCAGGGACTAGATTCCTCCTTTTGTATTTGCTATCTGCTGTTGCTTAACCACCTACCTAATGCAAATCCTGAGGATAATCTAGTATATGCCAAACCTATGACACAGTTTTTTGTGGGTTTTTTTTTTTTTGCATCTGATAGCAGTTTGCCAGAGGCAGTCAACTATAAACAGGCTTTTAGGCTGACAATCCAAGGCTCCTCACAGGATTGACTCAGCGGATATTTTGTCCAAGGTACATAGAGCAAGTTTGCTAAGTCTAGGTCATTCTGATAAATTCTTGAAAACAGGGACCCCAGACTGCAAGGGGAGAACATCAAAGATCTCCTGGGGCTGTAACTAAGGGCTGGCAACTGGCCTATGTCCTCACTTCACTCCAGCCTTGGAGCCTGCAGCATAGGAGGCTTACCAGGCGGAAGTTCTCTTCTGTCTGCCTTCTTTTTTTATAATTTAATTTTTATTGAGATAACACTGGTTTAAAACATTATATAAGTTTTGTGTTGTGTACCGTTCTATTGGGTTGACCAAAAAGCTCATTCAGATTTTTCTGTGAGATATTATGGAAAACCCTGAGTGTACAACCCAATATTTTTATTTCTGTGTACACTGCAGCATGCTAACCACTAAAACTTTAGTTTCCATCCATCACCATGCAGTTGGTCCCTTTACTCATTTTGCCCTCCCCCTGGCCACGCCCCCTCTGGTAACTACTCCTGTTTTCTGTTCTCTGTCTGTCTACATGTTTGCTGTCATTTGGTTTCTTCATTTATTTTTTGTTTGCTTGTTTTCTATATTCTACATATAAGTGAAATCATATGATGTTTGTCTTTCTCTATCTGAGAAAGACAAATATAATAATGCAAAGACAAATAATAATATCTATTATTTATCATAATACACTCAAAATTCATCCATATTGTTGCAATGGCCAGATTTCATCTTTTACCATGTCCGAGTAGTATTCCATTGTATATATGTACATCATATATTCTTTATCCACTCATCTGTTGATGGGCCCATATCTTGGTTATTGTAAATAATGCTGTAATGATGTAAGGATGGTTCAACATCTGCAGATCAATCAATATGATATACCACATTAACCAAAAAAATAATAAAAGCCATATGATCATCTCAGTAGATGCAGAAAAGTATTTGACAAGATTCAGTACCCATTTGTGATAAAAACTCTTAATAAAGTATGTAGAGAAAGAAAGTACCTCACCATAATAAAGGCTGTATATGATAAACCCATGGGCTTCCCAGGTGGTGCTAGAGGTAAAAGAACCTGCCTGCCAGTGCAGGAGACATGAGTTCAATCCCTGGGTCAGAAAGATCCCCTGGAGGAGGGCGTGGCAGCCCACTCCAGTATTCTTGCCAGGAAAATCCCTTGGACAGAGGAGCCTGGCAGGCTCAACTCCGCAGGGTCATAAAGAGTCAGACACGACCCAAGCAACTTAGCACACAATGCATGATAAATGCATAGCTAACATCATACTCCTTTAAGGCCATCTGCTTAGCTGTGACTCCCCTGGAGAATCAGCGCTTCTTGAATTGAAAAAAATCTCAGTAGATTATCTAGTCCACTCCTTACTCCAAGGAGGCAAATTAATAATGTCATTAATAAGACTATATTGTAGGTTTTCACATGGAGGGAAGAAGAATTAAAGAACTGAGTGGGCAGAGAGTCCCAGAGCACCCAATGGGAACACAACATGTTCCTGGCTCAGGCAGGAAAATAATAGGATATAATAAATTAGTAGCCATCACACTTTGACATGCACCAGGATCACCTGGAGGCCTCTTAAAATAGATCACTGGACCGCTCGCTCTAGAGACTCTGACTCTAGTAGGTTTAGGACTAAAGATTTTATCATTCATAAGAGGTTCCGATTCTACTGATACTGCTGGTCCAGAAACCACACTGCAGGAACTTGTAATAGGTAAAAAGAAGGAAAAGCCATGGCCACTGCCCCTTGCCTTTTGGAGGCCCTGGAGAGGGAGTTCATGAGTAGGAATTGTCCACAGTTAGATAGACTGATGTTATTCTTTAGATTGATGTTATTCTTTTCTGTCTGTTAAATGTCATATCTGAACTTTGTAAGAAAGGGAGTCCTGAGCCAATTGGTATAGGCTACAAAAATCATTCCCTTGAGTAATTTTACTTAAATGATTTACTTAAGGGGAGAATTCACTTAAAAATGAAAAAAAAATATAAAGCGAGCACTATATGCAGGTGGTATGGCTGAGGTGTAGGAATAGTGAGGGACTTCCTTGGAGCTGGGGACCTGGCAAATTGAGGTGAGTGTGGGGAAAGCAGAAGGGTGAGGGAGACCCAGGTCTCCTGTGCGCTGGCACTCCAAGGCCACCCCGAGCGTGCGGCAGGTTGCAAATTGTAAGTTGTTTTGTTTCTAGTTGCGCTAGCTTTTATCCATATTTAGGAGACACTTCCCTGTGGGAGAAGGAGCCCCAGACCAGGAGTTGGCAGGGCCCAATATGGTTGATTTGTGATGCAGGCAAACCATCTTAGCTCTCTGCATCTTAGCTTCTTCATCTGTAAATGGAAATAACAATGTTTGCCCTGTCATCCCGCTGAACTCCCTGAGGGTCCAATGAGAGCAGGTGTAAAGGCTCTTTACAGGAATATGAAGTGTTGTAGAAATGGGAGAAATTATTATTCATTCATTCAACCAAATTGTATTGGGTGTCAACCATGTGCTGAGCTCTAGGGGGTACCATGAGGAACAAAATAAAACAAGGTCCTTGCCTCTTTGTGGGGAAAAGAGGAAATAGAGGCTTTCTTTTCAGTTTTTTCTTCACTCCTTCACTCCCTCCCCTCCCATTTTGCCACTACTGAGAAGACTTTTCATGGGACCAGCAGAGATTAATATATGCAGCTTGAGAAGTTCCCTGGGAGAGAGTCTTCTGGTGCCCTGACATGTCCTCTTCAGAACACTGCATATTTTCATCTCTAAGCTGGTAAATGTGGGAGACCTGGGTTCAGTTCTTGGGTTTGATCTCTGGGTTGGGAAGATCCCCTGGAGAAGGGAACGGCTACCCACTCCAGCATTCTGGCCTGGAGAATTCTATAGACTTTATAATCTATGTGGTCGTAGAGTCGGGTATGACCAAACAACTTTCACATATCATATATGTGAAATATATATACATATGTGTGTGTGTGTGTATCTATATATATATATATATATATGCACAAAATGACAAAGGAAAGAGGGCAGAGGGCCAGCAAGGTGGATGGAAAAGAGCTTCCCGTTGAGTCACTGGGTCCCAACCCTCACACTTGTTGTTTGGGGGTAAAATATTTAAAACCTCTGTGGACCCATTTTTATCTATAATATGGCGATAGCTCAGGACCAAGATTCAACAGTTTTTGTTGTTTAAACGTTGAAATAGTTCTGTTCCAGTTGATGAAATTTCCACACTCCAGCAATGAGGAGGTGATGCCTGGCATGGTGAGTGCCTCTAATCCTGGGCTCCAGTGCAGCTTCCATATCGTTCTCGTCTGGTTGGTAGCTGTGCCAGAAAAGTAAAAGTAGTGAAAGTGTTGGTTGCTCCATCGTGTCTGTCTCTTTTGCGAACCTGTGGATTGTAGCCCGCCAGGCTCCTCTGTCCATGGAATTCACCAGGTAGGAATACTGGACTGGATAGCCATTCCCTTCTTCAAGGGATATTCCCAAGCCAAGGATCAATGTCAAATCAATCATTAAATGTATGTGACCATCACTTGACTATCCCTTGTCTATTCAGGTTTTGTGACGATCACATAATGGTCCAGTAACTGCATGCCTTGGTTGCTACTATAAGTGGATGCTCAGTACAGTTTTGTTTCCTTCTGGGCAGGTTTCTTCATGATGAAGGATGGGTGGAGGTGGTCAGAAAGGAAAGGAAGGCAAGAAGTTGGTAGAGAAGGAGCAGAGAGGGAGACTGTGCTAAGTGGGTGGGGAGGCACACTTCTCTCTGAACCTGGGATGCGCTTAGCCAGTGCCCTTCCCCACCCCCGGGGTGAAGTCCGAAGAGAAAGCAAGAGTCTTGTCAAAGGGCTTGGCATTCCTTGAATGGAGCACAGAGTGTTATTGTTATGTAGTAACAACTCAGGCCCACATCGTTACTTTATTCCATTCTAATCTCCCTGTCACTGGGGAGACAGAAGCCCGACAGCTCTCCCTTGCACAGCCCTGCAACCTGCCCCTGGGAGAATAGTTGCCTTGTTTCGCTGGGCTCCTCTCACATTCGTGCTTTCTTGGCAAACCTGCTCAAAGGTATCAGAATCTCCAGGCACGCCCCACAAAGTGATATGTTTGGAATTTAATCAAGCGCCCCACAAAAATGGGACTATTTACCTTACCCCTGGAAGCGCTCACTTTAAAAATATTTAAAAGTGATCAAAATACGAATAATGAGGGCTCTGCCCTTCACAATAGGCTTTTTAGGATTTATGTATTTTGATACACATACCTCACTCTTCCCAAGAAGCGAGGTCAGGCATTTCCCTGGTTCTGACATGTTAGTGGAGAGAGAGGTAGAAAGATGGCCAGGATCCAGTCCTATTTTTTTTTTTTTTTTTAGTGATACTTCTTTGCCTTGCTCCTTGGCGTCTCTTTTCTTGCATGAGGGACCTGGAAAAGCCTTTCTCTGCAGTGTCGGGTGGCAAGGTCCGAATGCTTGGAATTACCAAGCTACAAGCGCCAACCCTTCAAGTGGCTTTGAAGTCTGGTAGGGAGCAGTTTCAAGCCTGAAAGTGAGGGCCCACAGGAACCCAGAGAGAAAAAACTCTTTGCCACTTAGCAGTGATTTCGTTCCTTTATGTTTTGCTCCCACTGCAGCCCCCAGCCCGCACCCGAGGGGTTGCGTAATGCTTGTTTGTGATTCTTAAACCCTCAGTCCCACCCTCCCACCTGACTCTCAGCCACATCATTGAGAAGATCCATCTTCCTCACTCACCATTCCTCTCCTCCTTGAAGATTTGTTCCTTTGTCTGTTTTTGTCTACTCTTCTCCTTTCCTTCAGCTGACAACACCTTTGCCCCACCCTGGCCTCGTGATCACCCAGTGGTCTTCTCTCTTGGGTAATTAATTTCTCCTCTTTTGGGTGTCCCCATGCTTTCCAAAAGCTCCTTTCCTCACTTTTAAAAAGGACCCTCACTCTGACCCAGCATGTAAAGTGAACACACATACCTCTGAAACCTGGAAACTGGCCCCGCAGTCCTCTTGTTTCCTTCCTCGTTACAGTTGTTGAATTGATCGTCTCCACTGGTTGGCTCCTCTTAATTCCCCTAACCATATGTCCCTGCAAACTGACTTCTGCCCAAATGACATCATTTGAATCTGTCTTAATAATTGGTGCAACACTTATTTCACTTTCAAATCAATTCCTCAGACAAACTTTTTCTTTCAAAAAAAAAAAACCAACAGTTATTTATCTGGCTGTGCTAGATCTTAGCTGCGACGTACAGAATCTATGATGTTTATTGTAGCACGTGGAATGTTGAGTTTGTGGCATGTGGGATCTAGTTCCCTGACCAAGGATTGAACCCAGGCTCCCTGCTTTGGGAGTGTAGAGTCTTAGTCACTGGACCACCAGGGAAGTCCCAAACCAGCTTTTTCTTCTTCTGTCAATCTTACCTTCACCTTTACCCACTCCAGGGTATAAAATGACCCTTGTGACATCTTCTTGAAATGACTCCTGTACATTGTAATAGCAGTAGTTCTCCTCCTGCAATAAAGAATAGTTTTTCTCAAATTTTCTAAGTGGTTCCTCCTCAGCTGAGGAAAAGAAAAAGAAAACCATTCTCAAAGAAGCTTTCCCTCTGCTCCTTTCTTTCTCCCCTCCCCTCCCCCCGCCTCTTCTTCCCTCTCTCGGTAGTGTTATCCGTGGCCCAGGCTTCAGTGACCACTACTTACCTCCATAGAACTTCCCTCCAGGACTGTCTTGCCTCCTGGATCCCAGACCCTTAATTCCAACAATCTGCTGGATTTCTCTCTTTATATGTACTGCTGGCATTTCAGCATAAACGAGTTTTCAAAACCAAACTCATGTTTCCTTTTCGAAGCCTATTCAGCCTTCTGACTTCTTTATTCTTATAAGTGCCACAGATATTACATTAGCAAACTGAAACTATGTGACTGTCTCACTCCATGTATTTCACTCACTTTTTATATCTGTCCTCTGAGTTTTCTCTTTCCTCTGAGCCCTGCTTTTCCTTCCACATGTTATCACCTCAGTTTACATTACATGATCTCTTCTTGCCTGGATTCCTGCAATACCCTGTTAGGCGGTTGTCTCCTCGATTCT